CTATAGTTCCAAATATGAAGACAATCCAGTGTTTAGTTCTTGAGATATCGCGGCAACACCGTTTTCCAACTCCAAAAGCAGATTTGTCTGCTGTGACCTTGAAAATGGGATCAAGGTCACCAAAACCGACTGGTGTCTGCGGAGTCTGTATATACACCATAGTTCCAAATATGAAGACAATCCAGTGTTTAGTTCTTGAGATATCGCGGCAACACCGTTTTCCAACTCTAAAAGCAGATTTGTCTGCTGTGACCTTGAAAATGGGATCAAGGTCACCAAAACCGACTGGTGTCTGCGGAGTCTGTATATACACCATAGTTCCAAATATGAAGACAATCCAGTGTTTAGTTCTTGAGATATCGCGGCAACAAACAGGTGGGACGTACGGACGGACGGACGGACGGACGGACGGACGGACGTACGGACGGTCGTGAATACTATATCCCCCGCTTCGCGCTTTCGCGCGGCGGGGGATAACAAGCCATCAGCTGACTCTGAGTATTTACAATTTCCGTGTGACGCCACACCCCACGTTATAGTGCAAGTATTCGTGATAGAAAACGTATGATGTCCGAAAACCTATGCTGCTGAAAGCTGTGATCGAAAACATGACAATTAGCGATGGTTGTCCGGTTTTCGATCATATTTTTCGGAGGGGTTTTTTTCAAAAAAATTATTTAATTTTTACGCGGAAGATGATTTTTTCCGAGGCATTACTGTTTTAAAAAACGCGATTTTCCGCGTTTCCGCAGAGATTTCACATCCCTGCAATAAACAGTGTTAATCATCCCCAAAGGGGTACAATGCTTGTGGTTGAACAGTTCCAGTCCAGGTTGACACACAGGTAAGATTGGAAGGTAATCCAATCAGAGACTGGTCATTTATTATAGGAGGGTGGGGGGTGGGGGGGTGGGGGGTGGGGTGGGATTAAGTGGGGTCATAAAAAATGACACAGCAAAAGAGGGTGTCACCAAAACATATCAAATCCATATGGAGTTGGGGGAACATGAAAAAATGATTCAGTTCTATTTTTCAAATATTTACATTATTAAGGGACTGGTCATTTAAACAAAATAAATTGGGAGGCAGGGTGTGTGTGTGGGGGGGGGGGGGGGGGGAGGACAAAGACCAAACCAAACCAGCCAACCAACCCCCTATAATGTGAGCCATCAAATGTAACACAAACTGGAGTTTGAGAATCTTTAAAAACCATGTCAGACTATTTCTCCTACATTTTTTTAAAATATCCACACACAACCCACCCACCCGTTGTGGTTATTTCACGCCCAATTGGGTAGAGTAGAATTTGTGCTAGTTGCGGGTTGCCTATTGGTTACTTCTCTTCTGTGTAAGAATTGGACCATCTGTATCAAGTGTACTGACCAAAGTGCCACTCTGTGTTTGTTGTTCATCGCCGCACTCAGCAATATTCCAGCGTCATGACGACAATATGTAAAAATAAATTGGACCAGACAAGTCTGACCACCCGATCCCGTTAGTCGCCTTTTACAGCAAGCATGGGTGGCTAAAGACCTATTCTAACCCGGATTTTCAGTTGCAACTTCTGAAACCGAAACCTGTGTGAGAATTTGACAATCTGTATCAAGTGTACTGACCAAAGTGCAACTCTGTGCCGACTACTGGTCAATAACAATGATGGGCAACCTCCAAACTTTAGAGAAATGAATGAGGTCGGTCTTTTGAACTTCCCATGTTCACATTAGCGTTCTACTGTACGAAAAAACACTCTAACAATAAAACTCTAACACTAGTATGACTAGAATGAACCTAGTGTCTTGCTATTTTTGTTATCCATCTGTATCTGCTTGGCCTCATCATCCCGAGGGAAGAGCGTCCACTAGCCTTTTTATCAAAGTCTTGTTCCACCTTTGCCACATCAACCCCATTTTCCAGTGCTAAATATGATTGAGCTATCGCACATATACTGTAAATCATGAAATTAATGCGTCTCCAAAAGAATGCGACCACTTGACCCTAGCCAAAAATGCCACTCAATATGAATGCGACACCCCCTCCTCTCAAGCATCAGTGGATTTCTATCTAAAGATGTCCTCAGTCAGGTTTAGAATCCTCACCTTAATCCAACCTTACATTAATCCAATCACACACCAAATAGCACCGCTTATTAGCGCTGAGTAAAGTACTTCCGCAAAAACAATACATGCGTGCTGGCTCGTGTCGGCCTTTGACGCAGTCGCAAAGAACAAAGGGTGGCGTCTGTCAGGACTTGCAGGTGTGATCTGTGATGATGTAAGTGAGTAGAACTCTTGTCTTGACCCCAGCAGTGACAATTCACATGATGTAATTAGTGTTTGAATAACATTGTTTATATACTTTATATACAAGGTCTGCTCAATAAACAGTGGTGTGGAATACATCAGCGTATGTCTAAATTGGTATTTTTGCTATCCAAAATGTCTTATTGTTGATATAAATGTGATGTTTAAAAATGCGAGCAAAGACTACTCGCATTTTTCGCATTTAATTCACGCTCACGTTAATTTCAAGATTTACAGTATTAGAAACTGAATATGGCATTGTATATGCTCAAGAAGTTTGATTACACCTTATACTTCACTCGAACATAAGACAGGCATTGAAAACATATAAACACGGCAACTTGGTTAGCTAAAATGAGGTGGGCATCCCTAACGAAAACATAGCAAGCTTTGCAAAGAGTTCGTTCTACACCAGTCACCATTATGACATCATATCGCCCACTGTGACGCAAAGATATAACGTCACAGTTGTAGGTCAAAAAGTGCCAAATTCCAAGCTCTCTGATGTCCCGAAAACTTTTAAAGAAAATTATCTTTGTAGATTTCTGTCATGTTTTCTGCATGAAATGTATTACCACACATCCTCTGAATATTGTACATGTAGTAACCATGGTAACTGCAACCGCATTTTGCAATGATTTATTGAAGACATAATTATTTAAATATGCCTACCGACAATGACGGAAAACAGTCTATTCTATGAATATTAGCTTCTGCAGTGATGCAGCCGTCAAATCGGCTGTTTCAATCAGAGGGGTTTTATAGTGATTTGACAACCTCTGATTGACCAATCAGAATCAAGTAATTTCTAAATTCATGGTAGAATGTTAAATAATATCTGAAACATATCCCATTAATCAAATCCTGAAATTCAAACTTAATTATACCTTCCACACATACCTGTCCCGAATCACATATCTATATCTGATATTACATGACATTTGATAACAAGTTAATCTGCAAAACTTTCTTTCGATATTTTGAGAAAAAACGTAAATAATCAAAAACTACTGGTACCCTAGAATTATGTTCATTAAGCTTGTTCATGTGTTCTGTATTTTCTATCTGCGAGAAAGTAGATATATATGTCACAGAATAATATAATGAGCATCATCATAAGTTACTTGGATCAGAGAAATGTGATTTCTGAGAGTGCCTTTAAGGCTAGATGCATTGTGATCTTCGGGGTTCCATCGACACTCTAACAAAATCAATTTTATACCCAGGAGAGGGTTACTGGTTGTTCAAGACAGCCATTTAGCAAGTGTAGCCTGGACTGTGGTTAGCATGATTAGATACGTGTGACGCTTTATTGTCTAATAAACATAATCATAGTGGTGGACCATTTGAAAGTAATAAACCCACACAAAGTAGTCTTGATTACAGATAGTGAGCCATCAACAGTGGAAAAGTGTAGTGTGGCGACATCTACAGTGATTTATCTAGGATTCCAAACTTGTCTTTGGCAAACAAAATGGGAAAGAAATGTAATTTCTGTTCAAAATAGGGACTTTCTGAAGTCAAATTAACATGATTAAAGTCTTTTCTTGTCTATCAAAAGCAAGTCACCAATGCAAAGTCATAACATTATAACATTATAATCATGACATTGACAATAGCATAACTTGAAAATGTTGTTTATTCCAGTGAGGACTAGTTACTGACAATTGCTATAAATTGTTCTACATGGAGTGCCCATGGACTAAGGAGTAAAAGAAATATACACACAATTGTTGTAGTAATATTCTTTGTTTTTGTGAAATATGAAATTCTCAATAATTCAGATCAATAAAAGGCCTCAACCTGTCCTTTCTATGTTGTAAGCCAATATTTTCCTGATGGTGAATTTATTAAATGCCCAGTAGGAACAAATTAACAAACTGTAAATATCGCATAACCTCAATTAAAGGGCCTTTTGATATTTGAACAGATAGGCTGATTTAACAAACATATATTTTTAGTTGGAATATTTGTTGTACATACAGGTGAATGTTTTGGGAGCTGGACATGCTAGAAGTTTAAAAATATCCACAATATTCTGTAAAGTGCATTTTGATGGAGTTATAAAGGCTGTTGAAAAACTCAACATCAGTATTGCTGATTACTTGTCACGTATCAGCGATCAGTAGATGCAGTCTGATAATGAAAGCAGTGCAGCATATTGCAGCTATGTGGAAAGTTGGTTGGTTTGTTGTTTAAAGCCGCACTCAGCAATATTCCAGCTATATGACAGCGGTCTGTAAATAATCAAGTCTGGACCAGACAATCCAGTGATTAATATCATGAGCATCGATCCATGCAATTGGGATCGATGACATGCAGCAACCAAGTCAGCGAGCCTGACCACCCGATCCCGTTAGTCGCCTTTTACGACAAGCATAGTCGCCTTATACGGCAAGCATGGGTTGCTGAAGACCTATTCTACCCCAGATCTTCACGGGTCTTATGTGAAAAGTAAATCATTAGGATGTTCTCTTATCATGCTTATATTTCTATCAAATTCATATTGCACATACCATATAGCGTTGTTTTCACCTGAAGTCAATGATACTGATTCACCAATATGATGCCGTGTTTGCATGGAATGTTGGTGCCATTGTTACATAAGATACCATTTAGCCAGTCCCTAAATGAGTGGCATTCTGTTAACTTCTTAATATTGAAGAACTATGACAAAAATAACTTCGTAGCTATACTTACATTTGACTCCAGAAGCCTGTATATGAATGGCTCAAATTCTTCAATTGACAAGTAGCCATCACCATCTCTGTCATGAAGTTCAAACAGCTGCACACCTTCTATGCCAACATTATGGAGAATGTCCGTATTTGGTGTTCTTGGACTCATCTTGACATAGGCCACGTAGCTCCCTATCATGATAGAAATAATGCCAACAAGAACTGATGTGCTGAAAAACAACCATCTTGGAATCTCTATTATCACTGTTGGTTTGTGAGGCTCCACGTTTTGACTTGCTGTATGGTTTGATTTTGTAGTCTCTGTCCCACCTTTGTCAGGTGGTTTTGAAGGCATCTTGTCTGAAATCAAAACGTGACAAATAAATCACAAGTCATGGATTTATGCAACTCTTAAGGTGCTTTAAGGAAACATCTTTTTTGTAAATTATGGAAATGTGTTACATGTCACATTTTACAGTTTAAAAAAAAAAGGATGATATTAACTTCCACAGACTAGTCCTCATGATCAAATGTCACCATGACTCCTTTGATCTGACAAATGCGTTGCATGTGGCTAACAATCACATCTTGGATATATTGTCTTACACTATATGGGCCTCTGTCCTGCCACAACGAGCTTGTCCACTGTTAAGATACGAGGCGTGCGTGTTCCCGATGTGACGTGCAGGTCTGCATTCACCCCTTCAATAAGGAACACTACATCCGCATTCCCTGTAGCCAATCCACCCAGCCAATCGCAGGTGCCGGGTTTGCTTGGCTTAGCGATGACGGTGGGTGATTAAGCTTGACAGACAGCTGGGTCCCGCTAAACAACACGGGTCAAGTGTCAAAGGTGAAGGTCGTATGGGAAACTACATTTATTGTTTTTTGTTTGTGCTAACAAAAAACTAATGACAGGTCTAACATATTCAAATATATAAGTAATATATTCAAACAATAAATACATATTTGGTAGTGTTTAGGTATTGATACCATTACAACCTACACTGATTACGAAACAAATACTGCTAGCTCAGCAAATATTGTAAACACTTCCGGTTCGTGTTCATTTCCGGATTCTAAATCATGTGTTTGCGCCAGATAATTTGTTGACAGTCTCACAAATATCCGAGTCTCCATGAGTATACGAGCAATATGGGTAGTTAAACTACCCTCCACCAATAATAAATCTCCAAAGAATATATTTTTCAGGTAACTGACAATTTAGTGAACTGTAACTTCGCGATAGATTTTTGGACGCTTCAATTAACAACTCCAAACCCAAAGACTATCGTGTTGTGTCAGTGTGATCTGTGATGATGGTGTCATGGTTGGAGCACACAGACTATTTTTTACCCTTACGATATAAATAAACAAGAGAATTTGGTTCACCTTTACACATACAGAACCTTTTGCAAATTTACATGCTGAGTGTTATTCGTATGTATGTTAGCAAGTTTGTAATTTGATTTGTGAAATAATTAATATTTCAGAAAATTTCCAACAGTTGAGAAAAAGACGAAACAAGTGGAAGGTTCAAACTATATTGCCATTCCCAACTCGCCCCAGTTCCTGCAGCAGCTGCTTGTTGAGACAGGACTGTCACAGGCGTCAGGCGAGGTATGGGACAATTTATGTTATATGCTTGTTGCATAAGAACATGAACGTGTAGTGTTAATTAGTGTCTCTCAATGGCTAATGCTGAATGTCATTATTCTTAACATTGTTCTGATAAAACAAATCCTTGAATCAGTGAAAAAAATTTAAAGAATTTTACAGTATTTATGAAATGAAAGGTATTGATGATCAGGAAATTAATGTTGATTGCAATCTTGCTTATTATTGGCATAATAACCATAATGATATGTGATGGGTTACACAAAACATCACTTCATTGAAAGTAATATTCATGCACATTCAGCATGTTAAACAGCTTATCGCATGTATTGTGGAAGGAACTTTTAGTTTTACCTTATTGTTATTACTAGTATCTCTGTCTATAGAATATTCATGGTTTAAGACAACAAATTTCAAAAGCATAGATCACCAAATTCAATGCCACTGTACTGATTCATCCAATGTTATCGGATAATATACAAGTTTGTGGTTTGTTTGCTACAAGTTTGGAAGACTGAATCAGTGGTGAGAAAACAATGTACTTCTTTTCTCTAGTTTGTTGGCAGCAGAGACCAATGCTCAAAGCAGGATGAAAAACCAGTGTTTGAAGTGGACACCAGTAGTGGTAGAATCTGGCCCTTTATTGTCATTGAACAGGTTTGTGGTAGCATAGACATTACAATGTCAGTGAAGATACATGTTCAAAACAAAAATTTTGATATTTTTGTTTTGTAGAATTAAATAGAATTAAATATATAGATAAGACTAATAGAGATCACAAAAAAGTTGTTGAGAAGACAACCACTGCCTACAGTTTGTAATACTTTTCATATGGCCAAATTAGAAAAAACATTTTTTAAATACATGTAGTGTGACTTTAACTTTCGATTTATTGGTTAAGTGTTTGTTATTTTAACATAATTTTATCTCAATTTCTGTAACTGGTCAATCAAATTGTAGTTGTGTGTGTTTGTGCTAGATATAAGTCATATGCAAGCAAGGTGTAAAGTTGAAGAGACAATTCCAAAAGCTACCAATGGTGGCCAACTAATTTCCAAATATCTGATGCAATTTTTTTATTGCTTTGTAGTAAAATTTACTTTTGTATGGGAGTTCTTTCATTGATACCCTTGACCATGTTGACATAAGCATGATAAGAAATGAGTGATATACAACCAACAGAAACATTTCTTGTCTCTCAAATCTTTAAAACAGTCAAAGAAGAAATATTTTTCTGTTCGAAAAATTGAGTAATAAGAGTATTTGATGATTGTGTATTTGACAGTTAGTTTGTACTCTACAGCAAGGTGTGCTGTACTGCTGCCTGGTGCATGTGCCCCAAGGAGCCCATCTCAGACCAAACATCATAGAAATGTAAGTGAAAGTGGATACAGGTTGCCCAGTGGACTAAGTCCCTTTCAGTGAGTTCCGTCCCTTACACATACCAGGATCTCCTGATTGTGAGTTTGAATCCCAGATTTGCCCCTAACATGGTCCTTGGTCTATCTGCACCATACTCGACCTCTGCAATCTGGGTGTGGTTGTCCCCAGTACTTCCTGTTTGCCGTAAGGACAGACTATAATGGGGATAGGTTGAACAATCTCTGTAAAACTGTGGTGAGTAGGGCTGGGACGGGTACCGGTAACTGGGGTACTCGGGTACTCAGGTCAGGTGTGTAGTGAGTAGGACCAGGGTACCCACAGTGCTACCCGGACTGGTTTGTCATGTGATATATTGTTTAATGACAATAACTCTCTATAGCTCAGTGTTTGCACTACAAGTCGCTTGTGTTCGCATTTCTTTCTGATGATGCACACATTCCTTTTTACTTGTAGATGTTTGAGTAAAGATGAAGCTTAAGTCAACTTCAGTGTACACATGATCTGATTGTTTGATGCATATGTATCTAAATAGTTTTTGCCAGGGCTGCGGTAAACAATTCCCAATCAGACACTTTGTTCACAGCTCTTGAGAACTACAGTTGGTACCTGAGTAGGGTCGGTTAATAGTTGGTCGGGTACCCGGGTAGTAAATTTGGACTCGTCCCAGCCCTAGTGGTGTGGATAATATCATACTCAGGAAAACATTTTCTCCAGAACCCACTTTATTTGTAACTTGTATGACAGTCTTCTGATGAGTTATAAACTCCTTTCCTTAAGATTGGTGGTTCAATTCCCTGCCAGCATCGTACCAAAACAAATGTTAAAATTTGGTACTTGTTGTTACCCTGCCTTGCACTTGGCATTAAGGGGCTAAAACAAGGACTGGTGGGCTCGGAGTCAGTATACTGTGTCTGAGTGAGGTATCCATGTTAAACTGTGGCATGGTATGTCAGTGACCCAACATTATTACTGGCATAAGTCCTAATGGTACAAGCAGTCACACACACACTTGCATGCATGTCACTATATGAGTGCCATAATATTGAACACCATGTTGGAGAAATCCTGTGCTAATATATTGACAAGAGAGCTGTAGAAATCCTGTGCTAATTTATTGACAAGAGAGCTGAAGAAATCCTGTGCAAATTTATTGACAAGAGAGCTGTAGAAATCCTGTGCTCACACTTTGACAAGAGAGCTGTAGAAATCCTGTGCAAAGTTATTGACGAGAGCTGGAGAAATCCTGTGCAAAGTTATTGACGAGAGCTGGAGAAATCCTGTGCAAAGTTATTGATGAGAGCTGGAGAAATCCTGTGCAAAGTTATTGACGAGAGCTGGAGAAAGCCCATGCAAAGTTATTGAGAAGAGAGCAGTAGAAATCCCGTGCAAAGTTATTGACAAGAGAGCTGGATCTATTGATGTTACTCTTGGGTATAAGATTATGTTACTTTTGAAATGAATGGATCCAGGGTATTTATCAAAATTGATTGGAGATATGAATACTGGATAATGGAGGATATGCTGAGTCTGGTATTAATACTCACTCCCACTATTTCAGTCCATCGGTGTCGCTCGGCTTCTCCCTGTTGTGTGGTGTAGCAGAGTACATCCGGGCAGCCACCAGTCAGGAGGTAGGTCACTCTCAGAGGACACAACGCTTCAGTGCTTAACTTAATGTTTTCTCTACAGAGTTGTGTCCCTTACCTTTTGCAGGATCCACTGACCATGAACTTGAATCTCAGATTTGCTATACACTTTTCTTTTCAAACAAGTGATGAACGTCATTTCGAGGTGTCCTCTCACACAGTGCTATAACTGAAATCGTGTTCAGAGGTGTTGAACCCATCTTCATGAGGAAATGACGTAAACTGACTATTAAAGTCCAGTTTCCACCCTTCCAGAACTAGGCTCGAATTCCAGAGTTATATTTTGGCTGGACTAACAAGTCTCTGCATCATCCAATTAAGATCGCGTTATAAACTAGACATCTGATTCATAAACAACATGGATTTCAACGTGCTGATTTAAGTTGACTGCAGAATTTGCAAAGAAGACAGACATTTTCCAAATGCAAGGCCATAGTTAACTTTTTTTGATGGGGGGGAGGGGGGGGGGCAAATAAGATTATTCATTTCTTAATGTTTTCTATCAAAAATCCAGGGGGCCGGCTGGCTACGGCACTGAAATGTTTTCATGTTTTAATCGAGGTGCTCATGTGATATGATACACTGCATGAGGTAAGACACATTTTATTCAAACATAGATCTTGATTATCGATCAGACCGCTTGACTGTGCACTGCCATTTTGTTTGAAGCAAATGCAAGTGATGTGAGAGGTGGAATCTGATTAGTCAAAAGGAGGGACATGGAAGGGACATTACTTGTAATAGCCACCGATGGCACCATAATCAAGCCATAAAATTCCAGCCTTGTTCGGCAAGGGTGGAAACTGGACTTTTATTGTCATTGCCTCTGGAGGATGTGTTGAACCTTACTCACATACTCACTCATCTCTCCTCCAGCTACCTGCCCGGCTGACAGAACTCCACAACTTCTTGAATGAAGCAGCGCCGTTCGGAGCTCCAAGAGACACATGCTGTGAATCCATAGTGGCCAAGTTAGCAGGGAGACCCATCACACTTCCCAAGTCACAGAAGGTACATTCTCTTTAAAATAAGATCTTTTATTCCAATCTGATACCTCTCTACAATGAGGATCTAAGGATCCTTCAGGTGAACCTTTTATCAGGTGGACTTTCTAATCAACCAATCAGTGTTGAGGCGTCTAAATTCTTGGTATTAGTGCGTAAAGCAATCAAACCAACATATCTAGTTTTGTATCTCGAAAATAAGTTCCAAAAATAGAAATTATAGCTGTGCCATTATTGTGTGCTCTGTGTGGGGTGTCATTGGTTCAAATCGAAATTTCCAAAACGAGGTATAAAAATGAAACGAAACCTGCTTTAGAAAGCTGACAGCTGATTGGCTTATTTACCAACGGAGCCCCACCTGAAGCAACCATCAGTGGAGGTGTCGCAGATCTTTACACATCAGAGTAAAAGATCTGATTTCATGAGATTGCAGAGATGCTGGACATAATGCATTGAAGGAGAAAGATATATTTTTCAGTCAGATCAAAAATGAATAAACCAAAATATGGAAATGATTTTCAAAATTTATTAGATTTACAACTTATTTATGTTGGCATGGCCTTGTGGTTAAAGTGTTATATCTTAATTTAAAAAATGTGGGTTCCATTTTGTGATGAAGTGCTACTCTTGTATCATGTAACCCGACTCACTCACTCACTCACTTATTTGTGCAGCAACCAGCTTGGAAACCTCTGCTCCACAAGGGAAAAGGAGTTATCTACCTTTCTGTGTCAGAATACATAAAGGCAGCCCAGGTAAGTCAACACCATCAGATTTCACTAGACAAGTAGTGATATCTCTCTTCCACAAAGGAATGAAAAGGAGTGTTTTAGTCGAAGCCTCATGGTTACAGTTTTCACAAATCATGCCGAAGGCCCGGATTCCACTCCCCTCATGGGTATATTGTGTGATGCCCATTTCTCACTCCCTTTCTCACTATTTAGAGATATAATTTCCAAGTTTATTGTTTAATTTGTCTATCTTATATCACGAATATGGGTGACAGTTCGGCAGATACAAGGGCTGGTTAAAATGTTCTAAGCATGACTAACTTTCAGCTATGGGCCATAACAAAGTGACCTAGTCAATGTAGTACTATTTGAGTAGTTCATTGCAAGTGTATTTAGTCTGTTTAGGCAGTTTGTATATTAGTGACAGACAGTTGAACGTGATAGGTGTTCAAATGGACACAGAAATGGAAAAGAACGAGTACCAAGCAGTCATCAAGTTTATGACTTTAGAGAAAAGTACTCCCCAAGAAATTCATGACTGCATGTCACAAGTGTATGGGGATAAGTGCCCTAGCTATTCCACTGTTACACATTGGGAAGCTATGTTTGAGGCTGGGAGAACAAGCCTTGATGATGACCTTAGATCAAGACGTCCCTCATCTTCCTTCAATGAAGATTCAATAAAGGAGATAGAAAAACATATACTGTCAGATTGACATATTACCATTGGTGAACTTGAGGAAGACACATGTCTATGCCACTGATTCATTGAAACTATTATTCATGAACATTTACAGATGAATAAGATATCTGCTCATTGGGTGCCAAAGTTTCTAAATTCTGACCTTAAGGTATATGAATGCTGACAATGCCGGAGAAAATTTAGATCTAGTTCAGGAGGATTTCATCAAATTCAAAAAGAGATTAGTAACGGGTGATGACACATGGGTCTACCACAATGATCCAGGGTCCATCGTCAACCCATGGAATGGCACCATTCCACTTCTCCGGCACCAAAGAAATTCAAGTCTTCAAAATCACCGAAGAAAGTTATGGCCACTGTATTCTGGGATGCAAATGGTGAGATCCTTGTTGATTACTTAGAAAGTCAAAAGACGATTACCAGTACATATTATGCTAATTTGCTTCTTCGCCTGAGGGATTCTATCAAAGAAAAGCGATGAGGAATGCTGACTGCAGGAGTTTACTATTTCATGACAATGCCTCTTCTCACACCTCTCGACTTGCAAACGCCTCTGTGCAACAATGTGGGTTCAAAGAACTTACTCACCCTCCATACTCGCCAGACCTGGTACCAAGTGATGGTTTCCACCTGTTTCCTAAACTGAATAAACACCTTCGTGGAAAGAGCTTAAACGACAACGATGACCTCAAAGCTGCCGTGAATGGGTTTTTCAGGGTGGCTAAACCAACTCAGTCACAAAGAATAAATCATTGGAAAGAGAAATCCCAAACACAGCTGTTGGTTAAAAAAAGATTACCGTATTCGACGTAATTAGCACCCAGGGCGCTCTCAAAATTAGAAATAGGGGGCTTTTATTAGAATATAATTTTGGTGAGAAAAAAACAGAGTTGAATTATCGTAAATTTTCGTGGTTTATGCTGACAGCCTGAAATGATACAAAAGAAAAGTCTTTAAGTATTATACACGACAAATATATTTTCCAGAATTTGATTGCCCATATTTAAGGGTGCATATAACACTAGAATAAATAAGTGTACATTGATCAATTGAAAGGGGTGCTAATTGGGATTGTTCACTAGCCAATATATTAGCAAATATCGCCGTGGGTGCTTATTAAAGCAGGGTGCTTATTACGTCCAATACGGTAGTCTGAATAGATCTGAATCAACAAAATAAAGTTCTTGCAATGCAAATACAGACAGGAGCATGTTTATAAGAGAAGAGCCCACAGAACAGTGAAGAAGGATGTGTGTTTTCAGTGTTACATCTTTTTCATATAAAAAATAAATAAAAAAACAAATGAATGTTTTACCGGTATTGAAAATTTGACCTTTGACCTCCTTGCACCTTGACATGTTATGGATGGCTAATGAATTCAATACGGGCTTTCTCTATCAACATGATCAAAGATATCTGTTAAATTACAGCCCATATTGTTATTTGTGTTTCAGTGTGAGCAAGGAGAAACACACGACTCATGGGATGTGTACGGCTCCGTATCATGTCGCGCTGACCTAGAGGGCGCTCTGTCAGACATCACACTGAATGTGTCACACCAGAGTGACGGGGACTGTGTTGCCCTCGATCACTTGCTTATACATCCCTGTGTCCAAAGTGCAGACTCAGGAATTGTTGATGCAGGTGAGTGTAGAGACTGAGCTGTTCTATACCACTCAATGTCTGACAAACTAGGCAAACTAGTGTCTGGTTGCAACAAGCACCCTCTTTGTCAATTATCCAATTTCATGGGGCATGTGTTGAATGTTTAGATTTGGTAAGGTAGGTAAAGGTGTTCTTTGTGTCAATTACTTTTAATTTTTTGCAAAGCAGTTGTAACTTCACATCAGAGCATTGTCTCAAAAAGTTAAATGTTACCTCATTCTTTGTTGTATAAATAATTACTCTGGACTGTTGGTCGAGACTCATAACTTATCGACATCATTGCATTGTCTCAAATATTTAAATATGACATCGGGGGCACAAGTGGCCCAGTCATCTAAGGTGCCGCGATTCGCTGTGCAGAGTTGCGTCCCTTGGGCATGCCAGAAACCTATGATTGTGGGTTCGAATCCCGGTTCGCCCCGATTATGTTTTGAGGTTTGTCAGCACCATACCAGTGCTCGTGGGTTTCACCGAAGTGGTTAACGTCTGAGACCTGCATCACTTCGGGCTTTCCTCCCACATTAAGCTGACACGCCGTGATGTAACTGGAATACTGTTAAAAGCGGCGTAAAACCCAACTCACTAATTAAATATGACATCATTCTTTGTTATATCAATAAATTTACTTCAAACTGTTGGTCATAACTCATATTTTATTCTGTAATTAGGCTGAGGAAGGACACTACAGTCATCCGATGTTTCTCTCATTCCAGCGAGCATGACCCAGTCCCACCCTCCCCCTCGCCGCCTCCGCTTCATCCCCCCCACGGAGATGTTCATCCTGTGTCAGTACTCTGTGACCGGACTACAGGAGCTGCCCATATTTGGAGTCTACCAGATGAAAGTGAGGCTGGTCATGTTATAACTAACCAAACTGCGACATGGGTGCATGGTTCATGGGATTATGTTTGTTGTCTTAAGTTGTGATAAAAATGCATCTTCTTGAGGCAATAGCGTCAACTGACTATAAAAGTCCAGGTTTTACCTTACCTGATGCTACACCTATATCACTGTGAAGCATCAGGTAAGTATAAAAACATTGCATTTAATCAGAAATGCTCATTTTCCACCCTTGCCAAACTAGGCTTGAATTTCATGGCTCGTAGCACCACCAGTGGATGTAACTAGTTATGTCCCTTCTCTGTACCCCCCTAATGACCAATCAGATTCAATCTCTTGTATCACATGCATTTGCTGCGTTAAACAACAAACAAGCAAACAAACATACTTATTCACTGCCCAATGAATTTATTATTATTTTGAGAACTGTCATAATGTACTTTTCAATCTGCTTACTTTTGACAGTGTGATGCTAAGATTGCCAATCTGACTGTCAAGTTAAAACTCAACAACCAAGTGAAGAACATGTTTGAGTACTGTGAGGTGCAGATACCTTTCTTCAACAGGTGAGAGCACAGTTTGTAAACTAGTGCCATTGCTACATTCAACATTCACCATAATAATCACACAACCCATACATAAATACTGACCCGTGAAGATTCCGGGGTAGAATAGGTCTTCAGCAATCCATGCTTGCCGTAAAAGGTGACTATGCTTGTCGTAAAAGGCGACTAACGGGATCGGGTGGTCAGGCTCGCTGACTTGGTTGATGCATGTCATTGATCCCAATTGCGTGGATCGATGCTCATGACATTAATCACTGGATTGTCTGGTCCAGACTCGATTATTTACAGACCGCCGTCATATAGCTGGAATATTGCTGAGTGCGGCGTTAACAAAAAAAACAACCAACCAACATTAATACTGCTTGTATCAATGCAGCTCCTCTCTGTCCAACGGTATGTGCATGGAACATAGGAATATCTGATTAATCTGAGATCAACATTGTAGGTTAGGCTTAAGAAAATAAAAGAATTGGTTCCCAGGCAATGTTTTTTGAAAATATAGTGCTGGTGGTTGGGCGGTGTGTTTTGTTTTTTATCTTACTTGGTTCTTCAAACTTTTTCTTAAGCAAATAAACAGTTGTGTAACCAAATAAACAATTGTGTACAATCAACCTGGGAAAGGGCCTCCCTATATGAATGTATTCCTTGACAAGTAAAGTGCTGGAATGCTGTATTTGACTACCGTTAAACTTGGAATATTTAAGGATTTTGTTTTTGTTTTTATTAAAGGACATAAAAACAAAACGGGCAGTGAACTTTATGATGATGCAGGTGGTGCCTGAGAACCAAGACTATTATGTTTTTTAGCCTTATGTTATCATGATCCTGTATGTAGGATTTGTCATTCTGTACGCCGTGTTCATTAATACACTCTTTTGTTACAGAGGGAGCATATCGATGCATGATTCCTCCCCTTCTCAGGGAAGTGTGACACTGGCACCTGATAAAACTATCCTGGTGTGGAATGTTGGTGAGTGTTAAACTGTCACAGTCCCTCATGTTACAGCAGCCTCAGAGGGGATGCAGGGCAAATAGCTTGTTGTAACATCCGAGTCTCACAGCTTGTTGTAACATCCGAGTCTCACAGCTTGTTGTACTGCCGAGTCTCACAGCTTGTTGTAACATCCGAGTCTCACAGCTTGTTGTAACATCCGAGTCTCACAGCTTGTTGTAACATCCGAGTCTCACAGCTTGTTGTAACATCCGAGTCTCACAGCTTGTTGTAACATCCGAGTCTCACAGCTTGTTGTAACATCCGAGTCTCACAGCTTGTTGTACTGCCGAGTCTCACAGCTTGTTGTAACATCCAAGTCTCACAGCTTGTTGTACTGCCGAGTCTCACAGCTTGTTGTAACATCCGAGTCTCACAGCTTGTTGTAACATCCGAGTCTCACAGCTTGTTGTAACATCCGAGTCTCACAGCTTGTTGTAACATCCGAGTCTCACAGCTTGTTGTACTGCCGAGTCTCACAGCTTGTTGTAACATCCGAGTCTCATAGCTTGTTGTAACATCCGAGTCTCACAGCTTGTTGTAACATCCGAGTCTCACAGCTTGTTGTAACATCCGAGTCTCACAGCTTGTTGTACTGCCGAGTCTCACAGCTTGTTGTAACATCCGAGTCTCACAGCTTGTTGTACTGCCGAGTCTCACAGCTTGTTGTAACATCCGAGTCTCACAGCTTGTTGTACTGCCGAGTCTCACAGCTTGTTGTACTGCCGAGTCTCACAGCTTGTTGCAACATCCGAGTCTCACAGCTTGTTGTAACATCCGAGTCTCACAGCTTGTTGTTACATCCGAGTCTCACAGCTTGTTGTACTGCCGAGTCTCACAGCTTGTTGTAACATCCGAGTCTCATAGCTTGTTGTAACATCCGAGTCTCACAGCTTGTTGTAACATCCGAGTCTCACAGCTTGTTGTAACATCCGAGTCTCACAGCTTGTTGTAACATCCGAGTCTCACAGCTTGTTGCAACATCCGAGTCTCACAGCTTGTTGTAACATCCGAATCTCATAGCTTGTTGTAACATCCGAGTCTCACAGCTTGTTGTAACATCCGAGTCTCACAGTCCCTCATGTTACAGCAGCCTCAGTGGGGATGCAGGGCAAATAGGTTCACAGTCCACAATGCATGATTCGGTTGGTTATCATGAATGGCCTAGCTCTGAAATTAATTTGTATTAATGTTCATGCCATCAACCACTGGTTTGTTTTGACCAGCCTCAATTATTTTCACTCGTTCTAGTAACTGCTATTTAAGTGGCATGAAGTAGAAATGTCACCTTGTTCGCTGTACCAAGCACCCCTAACAAAAAGGGACTATTATCAAAAAAAGGTAGTTTCCTAAACTTTTGAAGTATGTTCTCTACCACTCCATCTCTGACGCACGTAGCTAACTTGTGTTCCGATGCAACAAGCACCCTCTTCGTCATTTGTCCAAGTTCATGGGGCACTTACTGCGAATACTGAATTCAAACTTTTGTTAACTGGATTTTTTAAACTGAAACCATAGTAATTAACATGTATTACGTCTGTTGGGCACCAGTATAACCCAACACATGTTGTGCCCCAGGTCAGAAGTTCCCCAGCAAGACCCTGGAGGTGACAATGTCCGCCAACATTCAGTTCTCTGGACCAGCCCTCTCTCCATCGTCACCGGAGGACAGGTTCTGTTCAGGACAAAGCTCCTATGCACAGGTAGTCCCATCTGTCGACCTTGCCACAAAGATAAGACTTGGTTGATGCACGTCATTCTATCCAAATTGCGTGGATCGATGGTCATGATGTCAATCATTGGATTGTCTGGTCCAGACTTGATTATTTACAGACCGTCGTCATAAAGCTGTAATATTGCTGAGTGCGGCGTTAGACAAGAAACAAACAAACTTGGAAAAAATATGAACTTTTGATTCTTGAACATTGTTACCATGGTTACAGAAAAATGGTATGATATGTGGAATTGTGTGCCACTATCCATTTGACTTGTTTTATGTACCCATCAAGATCTGGGGTAGAATAGGTCTTCACAACCCATGCTTGCCGTAAATGGTGACAATGCTGCCAACTAACATGATTAGGTGGTCAGGCTCGCTGACTTGGTTGATGCATGTCATCGTATCCCAAATGGATGTCAATGATGTCAATCATTGTATTGTCTGGTCCAGACTCGATTGTTTACAGACCGCTGTCATATAGCTGGAATATTGCTAAGTGCGGCATTAAACAAAACAAACAAACACTTGTTTTATGCCCAGATGTCATGTGAACAATCATTAGTTTTTTGACTGTCAATACACATGTGGGTTTTTTAAATATTTGCAGGTGTTATTAAATATTTGGTGTCTTGGGAACTTGAGGTCACTCTCAGTACCTGTGCATCAAATACTTGCAACACTCGCAATTCTGACGACATATGATGTTTTTCTCAAAAGTAAGGTTCTGAAGGATCATATTTCCAAGATCAAAGAAACTGATTCATTTTTCACCATAGACAATGTTCCATAGAATATCCGATATGATATGAAGCCATCAGTGAAGATGGGAAGTGTTTTCTGAAAATGTTATTAATCTGTTCCCGTATTTGCCGTAATAAGCACCCTGGACAATAAGATAATGGACAAAAAGAGTTTTTTATTTAAGAAATAAACGACGAGTGAGAGTTGTTTATCGTACAATAAAACACTGCAGGGAGAATAAACCATGAGGGGCGCAGACCTGAGTGGTTTATTCTCCCTACAGTGTTTTAATGTATGATAGACTACTACCACAAGTCGTTTATTTCTTATATGACATATCAATATTATGTACAGCCTCATTAAGGATATGTTACCAAAATGTACAACTTTTAAAAATATTTACCCTTATATACATGAGGATGACTCCCTGAATAGAATCTGACCACGACAAGGTTGGACAAGCCCATATTACAAACGTGGGGGTTAAGTTTGGTATTTCCTGCATATTCTCATAGTCCTTGTATTGATTATCTGAACCTTTTCTCCTAATACCGATAGTCATATCTCTCCCACTTTTGGATGCAATTGTTCGGCCTCTGCATTTATCTGTGTAGTCCAGCTACATCAATGGGGAACACTTACAAGACACATCCCTCTCAAAAATAACATCATCCAATATATGACGTCATGAAGTTGCAAGCGCATATTTGAATCTCCAGAAATGACGTCATGATGTCGTGAAATAAGCCATGCATCATTCTTCATAGTTCTTTGCGATCAAATTTGTTTGAAATATGTGATATACACAAGAAAATACTATCATGTAAATTTTGGGTCCTTAATGTAGGGGGTGCTTATAGAGATTACTTACAGGTTGGTCTTGAAATGGGTGAGGGAACACTTGATGGAGCAAGGCGCTTAATATGGTGAATACAGTATTCTATTTATAAGTAACATTAACCATAGTATACATTGCTGCAAGACATATAGAGAATCACTGCCTGAAGAAGACAGTGTCTTCCGTTACTGTTACCAAGGCGATCAGGTCAGAAGGAATGTGACGCATTTCACTGTTTGTTGACAGCTTTACTTCAAGATCCCTGAGTTCACTCAGTCCGGGTGCTGCATTGACCCCCGATCCATACAGGTGTCACCCAGTGCCAAGTTCAAACTGACCACAGGTGAGCAGTCCCATGTCCTGAATCTTTCTTAACACCTCTTTTTTTCATTTTTTAAGTCTATATGTTTGAGTGAAAGAAAAAATAGGTGTCATGTGTTAAAATATGTGAGATCTTATTTCTGTTTTTTTTATCCTGTTAACACAACGAGATTGAACCATGAAAATAAAATGAGCAGTAGTCACTGTGTATTGAAATACAATTTTAACTGACGATACTTATTATATATATTTGTTTCTAGTGAGAGAATATTTGTCTACGGATTACAAGATATGGAACTCTTACGGTGATGTCCTCTCCACATCCGAGTAGAGATGGACCAGGAAACCCAAACCTCGACTGTGATATCCATGTGTGGGGCCAAGTAACAGAGTGATGGTGACACTGCAACTGTATTGTTATATCACCAGCATACTACTGTAGACCATTAATGAATATCAGTTACATTTATTGAATCTAACTGAACTAACAAGGACATTGTGGTAAGATCCATGAAACTCAACGACCACATTTGGAAGAAGTAAACCTCTTTGTTTATTGTTGTTTCGGTGTCTATGACAGACAAACTAATTTGATAATTTGACTACCCAATCTCAGTCAAATTAAATCTTTTACTTCGATACAATACTTCTCTGCATGAAGACCTGAGGACACCTCGATAGAAGTTCACTTTGACCTCCTTCCAATGAAGAATGCTGGGTCCCTTTAGCCAATTTGTTGTCAGCTTTCTAAAACCATTTGGCTTAATTTCTTTTCCATGTTTACCACCTCAATCACTGGATTGATTATTTACAGACCACCGTCATATAGCAGGAATATTGCTGAGTGGGGCGTTAAACAACAAACAAACCTCAGTTCAGAAAATATGATTTGTACAAATGAAAACCCACACCACAAGTATTCCTTTGATGGTACTCCCTTTCTGTGAATTGCCATGGTGCTCAGAAACGACAAGGTGCATAAATATCTGCAACAACGTAGTGACCTTATTCATCTACATCTGGAACTTGACGTTTTAGTTGGTTTTCAAGATACAGAAATCAGATATCACTCACTCATACCAAAAATGTAGAATGATTTGACCTCAAAGATGATTAGTTGATTAAAATGCTCACCTGATACAACAACCCCCTATGAAGGTGTCCTCTGATCTTGAAGCAGGGAGGTATTCTATGGGTGTGATAGATCTGATGGTAAGGAGATAGAGAACAACCTTGTGTTAAAGTACTGTTGCCCATCACTTGTGATTAAAAGAAACACAATGATACATATTACATATCAAAATGACAACTTCCTTACTTATTTATTAAACATATTTTCATTGCAAAATCAAATGGATTAGGCACAAGTGACACATTAGGAGCCTTCTATATACTGTTCATTACATTATGATGTAAATAATTAATTATGTATGAATGAATGGATGGATCTATGTATCTATATGTGTATGTGTAATAAATAGTATTGATTTGTGAATATTGATTGTGCAGAATATATGTACAGTGATTTCTTACTAATTTGGCCAGTGACCTTAGCCATCCAAGCACCTATGAATCTAATCTACATATAGTTATATCTTGTTTCACTATCATTCCTTTTCGTTAATATTTTACACTCTATGTTTGGCCTTCTGTCCTCTCTTGTATTTTTTTTTCTCCTCATTGCTCTCTATCTTTTATAACCATGTGTAGTAATATTTTGTTAACTAGTTATTTCTATGATTTCTATACAACCTTTCAATGCTCAGAATTAAAGGCCAAAAAAGAATTGATTACTATTTCAAACAGTACATTTGTACAGAACTGCAGTGTCAGCATTATTTCATGAATTATAACAGAGACTATATACATGTAATATGGTCTATAAGTGTAAACATTGTGTGTAGTTAGGATCATCAAGTCTTTGATATTTGATTTGTATAAGAGAATGTGCAATATTGTATTCAAAGGAATAAATGAATGAAGAATTGTTAATTTTGTTTTGGATCATCACCTCTAGAACTAAACATAACACATAGCCACTTGTCACCTATGCCCTGAGACTAGTACAATGTAGGAAGAACTATGTGTTTTTTTGCCAAATCTAGGTATGTGAAATTCTACCATAACTTGGGGAAGTAATTGATTCTGATTGGTCAATCAGGAGTTTCAAATAAAACCACAGCAAAAGATGATATACAGACCGCCATCGTCTAGCTGGAATATTGCCGAGTGTGGCATTAAACAACAAACAAACAAGCATTTTTTTTATCAAACAACAACCTTTAACCTTCACATGTATGATTTTGCCAGTGTAACTGAAAAAGTTTTGACATTTCCTCTGAAACTACAAGACCTATTGACCTGTCTGTAAAACTATATGTTATGTCGTCATTTCATCATATTTCAGGTCAGCTTCAGAACCGTTATGCTCTCTTTATCCAGTCGTGTGTAGCTCATGGTGGATATCCCAGAATGAATATAGGCTACAGTTGGTTGGCAAGTTACCTCTCAAAGATGTTTATCTCTATTTACACGCCTCAATTAGTTCCAGTATACAGTAGCAGGTGTCTTGCTATACGGAATATGTCTTCAGCAACCCTATTGTCGTAAAAAGCGACTATGCTTGTCGTAAGAGGCGACTAACAGGATCGGTGGTCAGGCTCACTGACTTGGTAGATGCATGTCATCGTATCCCAAGTTCGTGGAATCGAAGCCCATGACGTCGATCACTGGATGGTCTGGTCCAGACTCGATTATTTACAATATTCATATAGCTGGAATATTGCTGAGTGTGGTGACAAACAAACTAAGCCAACAAAAACAACTCAAAGCAAAGTTATCTGAAAACATTTTACCAGTAGCATTATCCACCAATCAATACAAAATACCAGATACTATAACAGTAAAGTGGTCTCTGAATCTAAAGAGAACGTTAAAATTAAGATTGTCATTTATATTATGCTGAGAATATATATAAGATATCTTGAGAAATCTGAGGTTCACCGAAATACATGGCTGTGGTAGAGAATTCAAAATCAGAGACCCGGTTTATGGTCTTTGTAAAAATGTACACAAGTTTCGCAAAGAACATGAATAAATTGACAGCAATCACCTGAAATACAGAAGAAAATGCGTTTTTAAAAAAATACGGCATATATATTATCCCTGAATTTGAAACTACAATTTTGACACGTCCATCTGAGCTGCGATCTGTCAAATATGCGTTCTTGGAGTTGCCTCCCTTCGGGCACCTGTCAAGGAAGACTTGGTTTGCTCTCACGCATGTTCACATTCGAAGTACCCAATCGCGCAAGCGCGACAGGACAAAAGGAACCTGTTTAGAAAGGAGACATTAGGAAAGCTCCTTGCATTGTCTCCAGCGCTTCCTCCAAGAATTAGACCGGACTGATCACCACAGAAGCGTAGAGTCTTGAGCTAAATATTAACACGTGCAGTGTGTTTTGATTACATAAATCGAGTGAGAAGAGAGACGTCACACAGAAGGCTCGCCATAGGAATATTTTATGAATGGAATTATGGCTTCAAGAACAGGAACTATCATATGTTTGTTCAGGAACGACCTGAGATTGCACGACAATGAGGTAAACGAATCGGATTACCAGCTGATTGCTGTAAACAATTTACGTTCCAGCAAAAGTGGCAATGTTGATCACCAACCCAAACTGGGGTATAAATGCGCTTGTACTAACATAACTATGTATGTAAATAAAGTACACAACAGCAAATTTGCACGATATTCATTTATTTAAGATGTGATGAAAGTCGACATCAATTTTTAAATGTCGCTACCACATCACTAATTATGCCATAAATCGTAATTAGCTGGAATTAATCGCAGAACTATTTCTACTACAGCTTGTGAAGGTTGCAGTAGGGTTATTTAAGGTTTGCTAATAAGAATATAGAGCTTGATTACAGGCTTAAATAAAAAAAAAATGCTCAGTGTAGCAAAACTAGCATATATGTGTAGGTTGAACTTCATCACTCATCACTGCATGGTTGCAACTTACCTAATCCTTATTTAGTTGTCACTGTAGACAAAATGGTAGATACTGTCACCATATACTGATATCAGACTTATCACTTGCAATGGGTCGAATTGTGACTAAACCCTACATTCAAGTCATATGACATTCAAATATTTACCTCTCTTTGAAAGCCTGAAAGGTGAGTGTTAAAATGAGACACAACACCTTTATATAAATTGCCTTATAGGTTGTTGAAGTACACTATAAAACCAGTGATGATTTTGGTGATAGTCTAACACAAAGTTACATACACATTCAGTTTGTGTGATCAGTTTGGTTGTATTACATCAGGCGCTGTCCTGGGCTGTGAAGAATGGCACACATGTTTTGCCCTTGTACTGCTTCGACCCTCGTCACTACAGGGGCACCTACCACTTCAACCTCCCCAAGACTGGAGCCCACAGACTCAAATTCCTCCTGGAGAGTGTTGCAGATCTCAGACAGTCCCTGCAGAGTAGGGGGAGGTAACTACTGACTGATTTAGTGATGTGTTGGGGAACAAATGAGCATTTTCTTGGCCCAAGTTCACCTTAAATCCAATACTACTTGTAACTATTGCTGCAGTGAACCATGATATATCAAAATCTCTTACAAGCATGTTTTCTGGTTTCGTCATCAATTGCATCAATTGCAATAATAGGGGCGGTGGGGTAGCCTAGTGGTTAACATGGTTAAAGCGTTCGCTCGTCACACCAAAGACCAGAGTTCGATTCCACACATGGGTACAATGTGTGAGGCCCTTTTCTGGTGTCCCCCGCTGTAATATTGCTGGAATATTGCTAAAAGCGGCATAAAACCATACTCACTCACTCAATTGCAATAATAAACATTACATTTTGCAGTGATCCAGTGGAGTTTCGCAGAGGTTGAGAAATGTGGACTTGTTCAACATCCTCCTCATTTTTTTGGCTTAACTGAAATTGAGTCACTACAAGGAATATCATCTTATTCTCAGCAACCTCTTCCATCCTATGAAGTAGGCCCAGTCAAGTAGATATTCCAAAGTAAACTCACCCGTAGAGATCCAGGGATGAATAGGTCTTCAACAACCCATACTTGCCGTAAAAGGCGACTATGCTTGTCGTAAGAGGTGACTAAAGGGATCATGTGGTCAGACTCGCTGACTTGGTTGATGCATGTCATCGTATCCCAATCGCGTGGATCGATGCTCATGATGTCAATCACTGGATTGTCTGGTCCAGACTCGATTATTTATATATAGACCGCCGTTATACAGCTGGTAATATTGCTGATTGAGGCGTTAAACAACAAACAAACAAACAAATCTAAAGTAGACTATATCTTTTCAAAGCATTGTAGTTATTGTCTATTTGGAGGGAACATCAATCATTTGTACATTATTTTCTCCCTATATGAATTATACATTCATTATGATGAATGAGCCTGTCAACCGGATCTGATTGATTTACAGATTAACAGACAACTACAATCACCCAATACCAAAGTCGCCACACAATTTCTTTTTCAGTAACCTTATGGTTCGAGTAGGCAAGCCCGAGGAAGTAGTTCCACAGCTGATAGACAGTATCGGTAAAACATTGGTGCAAGGGCTGGTCTACCAAGGGGAGGTAACTGCAGCACAACATATCCATTGCAGCATCTTACTAGCCATCTTCACAAGGCAAGAGCGTCCACATGCCTATTTGTCATAGTTTAGTTTCCACCCTTGCCTCATCAAGCCCACTAAGTGTGCTAAATATGATTGGACTATAGCACAAATCGATACTCCAATCAGAGAACATTTCATAAAATCAACATCCAGGTTCCCAAAACATGGCCGCTGCCATATAACTTGTCATATTAAGTGAAGACAAGTATTTTCTAGGTCTTTCCAAGTTTTAAATCAATTCACCCAATTACTGTGCTTCTAAGCAGTATGATGATGAGAATAGCCATCAAACGTGACAGGTACACATTCATATGAAAGTGATTTACAGCTGCCTGTTTGTTGATAATATTTCTTTTCCATCTTTTAAACCCCCTCAACTTCTGCCTTTCTTTGTCTGTCAGGGATGAAATCGTGAATGTTTTCATTATCTGATCAACCAGTGCGTTGTCTATGGTGGTCACCATCTTTGTGAAGGCATACAAGCTAAGAACAGTGATCTGATTGGATATTGCGTTTTTATTACAACGCACAATTCATGATCTATGCGAGGTGACGCCGCGGTCGAGCCAAGAAAAGTGGGCTTGATTAGGCAAGGTTAGAAACTAGGCTTTGATATAGACTAGTGGACACTCTTGCCTCAGGAAGATACTTACTAGCAAACACAGAAGTTTCAAACTTTCTGTGTAATACTGAGTTCACCGGTGCATTGGTTTGAGTTTACACACAGAGCACAAGCTAAACATGACCAGGTGCCAATAATAAAATACAAATAGACATTTTATATTGTTGTGTTTTTTGTCCAAATATGTGCAAAGTAAGTTGAGTAGGTTAGGCTTGTTCTGATGGTCTTACAGCTTAACTTATTACATACAGTTGTTTTGTGTTGAACATAATATGTTTACATTCAACGAAAAAAAGACGTCCTTTTCAGATTTTGTTTTTTCCACTTGTTGTAATTAATATTGATGATTTTGGAAAGAGTCTTGCCTTCGTAGGAGTTTTGTCTTCAGCTTATGAATGTCATCATCACAATGACTTTGCACAGCGTGTTCGATTGTACAATGTGGTGAGTATTGTCTTGTAGGTGACAGAGGAAGAGTTGACAGTTGAACAAGGCTTGGACAAAAAATGTGGGGTCAAAGTTCATACAGTTTGGGGCCATACTCTACATCATAAAGAAGACGTACCATTCAACCCTAAAAAGTAAGAAAATAATATTGAACATACATCATGTCTATTGCTATCAAATGGTTATACCTGCAAATAGCTGTAATGCTGCTAATGCGGAATTGTACAATTCATTCATTCATTTATTCATTCATTGCAGTCTGCTTATATCATCTAATAGCATCAAATGTTATTGTTACTGAGTGAACATCAGTGGCATTTAGAAACTGTAGTATGTTTGAAGACGGTTTACATATCAACTTCTTTACACTTTCAATACACTGAAATAGACATTGGACTTCATTTATATGTCTCTTGTCTCCATTATATTCAGCATGTTGAGGTTGCTATTTCTATATACAAAATCTTTCACACTTTCATGCAACTTAGGACTAAGGATTTCGGGTCTAGTGGTAGAGTGCCGCCCAGAGAGCAGAAGGTCCAGGGTTTGATCCCCAGACGCATCATACTAAAAGACGTTAAAAAATGGTACATGTTGTTACCCGCTCGGTTTTAAGGGGCTAAAACAAGGACTGGTTGGCTCGGAGTCAGTATACTGTGTCTGAGTGGGGTATTCATGTTAAACTCATGATCGGCTAGCACTATCAAATCGGCATCAGTCAGGACTAGTACAAGCAGCCACACACACACGTGCATGCACATCGCGATATAAATGCAATAATCTTGGACGCGACATTAAACCCCATTTCACCTCACTTTCATGCAACTCAATACTTGATTTGTCTCCCCTAGCTTGAGCGCCAGTGGAAATGATATAATTTTAGCTTGAACATACTCTGTGTTTGTTGCACTCAGCAATAGTCCAGCAGTCTGTAAATAATCAATCCTGAACCAGACAATCCAGTGGTTGATATTATGAGCAACTATCCACACGTTCGGAGTAGGTTGACACGAGCCTGACGACCTGATCTGTTCGATTACCTCTTACAACAAGCATGGGTTGCTGGGGACCAATTGTAACCCCAATCCCTACATATTGGTTGAACGTAGCACTATGACAAGATGAACAGCCATTGATTGGTTTAATCTTAACACATGACACACTCTAGTGTTCCAGATGTGTACACACAGTTCAGGAAAAGAGTTGAAGACCAGGCCCCAGTCAGATCCATCATCCCTACCCCGCACATGTTGAAACCTCTCCCCCCAGGGATCGAAGAGGGCACGATCCCTACCCCATGTGATCTTGGGGTTGAAGGTCAGTATTTCTCATTTAGTGCAGTGGCGACTCATTTGGGATTTCCTGCACTGCAATACATTATGATTCAAGTATTCATACCAAATGGCACATGTAAACATGGCGACTCATTTGGTGCAAAAATGAATTGTTAAACATTATGTTCTGATGACGTGCAATGGTTCCCTTGTCTACTAGTGTTTTCAGACTAGGATTTGTTTTGGTCACTAGTCAATCCCACTGATGATGGAATATGTTTCTTATAGGGATGGTACGGGTAACTTGGGTACTCTGGTTGGGTAGGTACTGAGTAGGACCTGGGTACCCAAAGGAATACCTGGACCCGTATTAATTTACGTGATATATTGTTTGATGACAAAAATTATCTCGAACTATATGGTGACACTACAAGTCACTAATGTTTGCATAACTTTCTGACTATGCACCCATTCCTTCAGACTTTTATATGTTTGAATAAAGATAAACCTTCAGTCAACTTCAGTGTGTGCATGACCAGATCGTTTTATACGTGTATCTAAATACATTTTGTATAGGGCCATGGTCAAACTATTCCCAGTCAAACATTTGGTACCTATCTCTTGATACTTACAGAGCGTACTTTGGTAGGAAGGGGTAATAGGGGTGGATACCTGGGGGTAGGGTACCCAGCAGTGTGGGGTAGTAGTAGGGGGTTGGTACCCGGGTATGTGTGTGTGGGTGGGGGGTGGGGTGGGGTAGAGATACCCGGGGTAGGCCGGGGTACTAGGATGGTGGATATACCTGGGTAGGATGGGGTAATAGGGGGGTGGGGTAGGGTGGGGGGGGGGGGGGGGGGGGGTTGGGGTTTGGAGTGGTACCTTGGTACCTTTCAGTATTTACTGTATGTTATACTTCAGACTATGTACCAGAACGTATTTGATATACCGGGTATCTGAATTGAGTATATTTGTTATCTTTTTAAAAATATTTGCCTATATACAGCGCCATGTTTTCAATTCTGCTTTCAATGTTTCCTTATTCTGATGGCTAATCTACTTTGAAAACATTGGACTCAACCCATGCTACTTCTTTTAATATTTTCACTTATACCACTGTTTTGTTGTCATGGTAGAATGTTCATACCGTGTGAAATATAATACGACTGCCCGGACCCTTGTTTAATCTCGTGATATACTGTTTAATGACATGCCCAATAAAAGTCGATGGTTACACAGCATAGCTTATGTTCACATTTCTTTCTGACTAGGCAAGCATTCATTGTGACTTTTATATGTTCGAGTAAGGATAAAGCATCTATCAACTTCAGTGCGTACATGATCACATTGTTTTATATAAGTATTCTAAATAGCTTTTGCCAAGGCTGTGGTAAAACAATTCCCATTCAGACATTTTGTGCCCAACTCTTGAGACCCATAGCGGGTGCCCGGGGTAGGGTCGGGTAATAGGGTGTCGGGTACCTTGGTGGTAAATTTGGACTCGTCCCAGCCCTTTAACCCCGTTCCGCCCCATGTTACTACTTACATTGTGTGGCCCTACCATGGAACCTTCAATTTCAGAATCAACAAAAGACCCAAGGACGGCATTTCCCTTTGCTGGAGGGGAGACAACTGGTGTGGCAAGGCTACAGAACTACTTGTGGGAGACGGACAATGTGTCCCAGTACAAGGAGACAAGGAACGGTATGATCGGAGCCGACTTCTCCACAAAGTTTTCACCATGGTAGGTGTCCATTCATCTTATGCTTGAGAGAAGCATTTATCTATGGCTTCGTATTTCATTGTGCACAGTTGCATCCCTTAGAATTGCCAGGAACCTGTCCCTATTATCATGGGTTTGAAACCCTGACTTGCCTATATTATAATCCTTGGTTTGTCAGCCAAATTGTGCTTCTGTTTCACCAAAGTGATAAGTGTCAGTTTACCTCAGGATTTTTTGACACAGTGGTCGGACGTGCTGTTCACAGCAGCATCACTCCCCAGACACTCGTTTATCATTCAGGGGTAGGTGATACACATGCTGTAGATCAAGTAAAGATGATGTGCATCTCTCTTCTCCATCAAGTGTGTAAATAGGTTGGTCGACCAATCTAGTGGCGCTGTGAGCATGATAAATATGGGCTTCAATGTCAGAAATATATATAGACCTATAATCCCATGATAATCCTTGACAAACTGTCCAGTAGTCATGGTATCCTTAGGACAAATAAAACTTTGCCCTTTTCATGGTTTTGCTATATGTTATCATTATAAGGACAAGTGGGCTAAAGCTGTTACCATATATCGCTGTGTATAAGGCGAGTTTCTCGTACCTAGAATTAGGGGGCTTTCAAAGGGGGGTTGTCTTATACACAGGGTTGAAGAGTTTTGATGGGGGTTTTCCCCCCTGACACAGAGACATTACTGTGAACACCGGAAATAGCATGTAAAAAAATGCAATTACACTGTCTGGTTATAAAAAGTGTTCTTTGTATATCTGAACTTATGTTTGTTATCTATTTTCTTAATGTTATTCAAAATTTCATTCAATATTGTTAACATTAATTTCGGCAAAATTGTATGTGAAGTGATCGGCAGATCGCACAACTCACTTGTTTACAGCAACCATGGTCAGATTACTGCTATTGACGCCTTGAAACAAACTTTAGATGATAGAGAATGGATATCTCTGCTATTAAAACAATGCCTAGCAGAACAGGAAATACAATTTAATCGGTAAATCATCATGTCTAGCCATGTTATATTGCTAATTTCAAATTTGTATTGACCAAGTTTAATTGTTATGATCTGTTCGTTTCGCTGAAGGATATGATGTAATTTTTTTCTGCAGAAGACAAACCTGTTTTTATTGCAAATGTAGCGATTTTGTATGCGCAGGTGACGTGCTTCATTCCGATTCGCTTTATAGACAGGATATAAATTAGCATCGATTTTGAAGGTTTTACAGGGGAGTCGCCTTATATGTGGGGTCGCTTTATAGACAGTGATAAACGGTAGTTTCTATCGCTGCCGATTGGATATATCTTTTATATTTGAAAATAGATTTACAACGATACACAAAGATCTCATTTTAAATGCATTACTATTACTTATTTTGTTTATCCATTTAATACTTTTGAAGAAGATCTTATAATTTCAGGCTATATTTGATCTTTGTACACTAAAGTTTATTAGCGGAAATGAAGCTATCTACTTGAGTCATGTAATCAGTGATCTTGGGATAGCCTGTCCGTGCTGTAAGAAAAGTCCTCTGTGTATTCTAGGCTGGCCCATGGATGTGTCTCCCCTCGCTTTATCCACTCGGAGATCAAGAAGTATGAGGCAAAGAGGACAGCCAACCAGTCAACGTATTGGGTGATATTTGAACTGCTGTGGAGGGACTACTTCAGATTTGTGGCTCTCAAATACGGAAACAAGATCTTTTTCAGTGGAGGTGAGTTGTCAGTGCAGGGATTGATGTGGCCATTGTCAGATGCTGATATTCAGCATTAGGGCAAAGGGAATCCCAATGTGAGCTCCCAAATTGAAATATAAAAGATTTATCATTAATGTTATAGCTTTGCTGAGGTGACTCATGTTTTACTGGACCGCCTCCGTGGTCTAGTGGTAGAGCGTCCACCCGGAGAGCTGAAGGTCCGGGGTTCGATCCCTGGCCATGTCATACCAAAAGATGTTAAAAGATGGTACTTGTTGTTACCATGTCTGGCGTTCAGCATGAAGGGGCTAAAACAAGGACTGGTCGGCTTGGAGTCAGTATACTGTATCTGGGTATTCATGTTAAACTGCGACATGGTATCTCAGTGAGCTAGCACTATGAATAGCCCGGACTAGTGCAAGCAGCCCAAAACACAAACACGCACACACACACGTGCATCCACGTCGCTATATAAGTGGAATAATCTTGGACGTGACGTAAAACCTCATTTCACCTCACCTTTGTTTTACTGATAGAAGGAGGAGGCCATGTTTCACATGGTTGATCACATCACTGCAGGAGGATATTTTTCGCACATTATTCATGCTACCACAAAACAAACCTGAGGACATCTCATTACAGGTCATGCCAGAACGATTTTACACACTTTGACCCAGCAATGAAATGACTAACAAGAAGTCGACATTAGCCAGTCAGAAGGCAGCTTCCTCAAGCTTTGCAGCACCTGTTTCAAACTGTTGACTTCCCTTCTAGACTACACTTTGAAAATTGATTCAAAATTTGAAAACTGAACAAAAGAAAATGATGGCTGATATTGCATGGCAGTACTTCCCACGTACCATGGAAAGTCGCTTCTGTTTCCAATGTTTATCCCATTGAAGTGACAGATAGATGATGACCCATGCATGCTTGCCGTAAAAGGTGACTATGCTTGCCATAAAAGGCGTCTATGCTTGTCGTAAGAGGGGACTAACGGGATCGGGTGGTCAGGCTTGCTCCCTTGTTTGATGCATGTCATTGTATCCCAATTGCGTGGATTGATGTTCATGATGTCAATCACTGCATTGTCTAGTTCAGTCTAGATTATTTACAGACCGGCATCATATAGCTGGAATACTTCTGAGTGCGGCATTTAACAAACAAACAAATTTCAGAATACCCTGTATTAACGTGTTCAAGGTTGTATGATTAGAAAACACATTCCGACTGTCACTTTCCAGACCTGGTTAGCGACGCTCTGATTAGGCGGATAAAAGGTCATTCTGATCGGACCCGTAATGGGATGTCCTCAGATCTTTGTTTAGCGGTAGCGAGAACTAAGATCTGATTTTAATGACATTGTGGAATGTTAAAATTGGACTGGAATAGTTTCAGGCCACAAAAAGAAATGCAACTGATTCCATTATCCTGGGCATGTTTGTCACTCTGGATGTACAAACATTTACTTTTCCCTTACAGTTGAACTAGCCAGCATGACTAGTGGCCTTCTGCAGTCATCTAGCCCCTTAGAAATGTTACTAGCCACAATCAGCAAGCTAGTCACCAATTGTTAATGTCTGATGTTGTAGTGTGACAACTCTTAGTATTCTTCTCCCTTCAGGCATAGTGGGGAAGAACATACCATGGAAGAGAGACATGAGGCAGTTTGAAGCTTGGAAAAGTAGGTGCATATATTACTATTTGACAGAGGTAGCATTAGAGTCACACTAAAAGGCTGGAAGACCAAAAATAACGTGCACTTTGCTTGGGGCACTGTGATTTTGTTACACAGGGATCGGGTTTTCAGGCTTGCTGACTTGGTTGATGCATGTCATCGTATCCCATTTGTGAAGATCGATGCTCATGATGTCAGTCACTGGATTGTCTGGCCCTCACTGGCTGCCTTTGATATATAATCCTTTATCATCTGTGAATTATGTCATTTCTCAACATCATTTCTATTTCTGTGGTTTGAAATGTACAAGCTGCCATGGCTTTATATGCACGTACATGTATGTAAATTTGTTGTGACAAGATCGACAAGATCGATGAACAAACACAGATTATGATATCTCGGACAGTTTCAAACATTACTGCTGAGACTTTCACTACAGCTGATGATTGTGTGAGTAAATTGATTTTACAATGACACATTTATCACTTCCTCAACAAAAATACCACAACAGAACAGCAGGGTGGGGTAGCCTAGTGGTTAAAGCGTTGGCTCGTCACACAGAAGGCACTGGTTCGATTTTCTACATGGGTACAACGTGTGAAGCCCGTTTTCCGGTGTCCCCCGCCATGATGTTGCTGGAATATTGCCAAAAGTGGCGTAAAACCATACTTACTCACTCACTCAACCAAACTGCCCCACATATTCTTGAAGTTGTTTGATCGATGCATCGCTGTGTGTTCTATGACAGGAGGCACTACTGGTGTTCCATACATCGATGCCAACATGCGAGAGCTGCTGGCTACTGGATTTATGTCCAACAGGGGCAGACAGGTAAGCACTATATCCTACATTGAAACAAGAGATAATTACCAATCATTACGGGGAAACTCTTACATTTCTTCAAATAGTTACCATAGTTACCACTACCAGTAAATAACAGATTATGCATTAATGTATTAATGCATTAAATTATTTTTTACTCTAAATTGGCTCATGTTGATTGGTAATGCACAATATCATTTGTATGGTTCAAATAGAACATGTTATTTTTTTTAATGTTCTCTCAATGAAATAAGAATGATTTAGCAGCAATTTTTGGAATCTCAAAATGTTTCTTTTTTAAAAAGATACTTGTGTTCTAAACATGATAAATGGGTTTACATTTTACACTTGTGTCAGAACTAAGATGCAGTGAATATCATTGATGGAAGTAGTTAAGCTGCTCACTGACTTTCTTACTAACATTGTAATCAATCACTTTCGCTTTGCAGAATGTTGCAAGTTTTTTGACAAAGGATCTGAAACTGGACTGGAGACTGGGTGCGGAGTGGTTCGAATCTATGCTGGTAAGATGTAGAGGTGTAACGATACAGGAGGGTTGCGATACGATACGTATCGCGATACAGGGGTCGCGATACGATACAGTGTTTACTGGTACAAGCTAAGCCAAGTTGATGTCTTTCTGCTCTCTAAAAGATGTAAAACTGTGTTATGAAAATATCGTATGCATCGCGATACATGCTTTCCAAATCGATGCATCGTATCGTGGGCTGTGCATCGGGATACAATACTGTATCGCCGTATCGTTACACCACTGGTAAGATGCATTTGTAACCTGCTGGTGAAACATTAGTGTTAGTATCTACTGATAGAATGGGGATTCTCTGCTGCAGATAACAGTGGTCCAGTGGTCTAAAGTACTACAATTTGCAGGGAGTTACCCCCCTTGATTCTGCCTGGATCTGCTGATAGTTTGAACTGATTGATCCTGATTCGGATCCTTAGCACCATACATCTCAGGTGTATGCTTGGTAAACGTCTGAGACCAACATCACTTGCCCTCACAACAGCAGATAAACATTTGATGCATATTGGAAGAGTGACGGTTGAAGTGGGAGATTTTCTCACAGTGTATCAGATCATACACCAAGAAGATAGTTCATTATATTACCTGGGTACAATGTGTGAAGCCCATTTCTGGTGTCCCCCACCATGATATTGCTGGAATATTGCTAAAAGTGGAGTAAAACCAACTCACTCACTCACTCACTATATTAGCCAGTTTCACATTTTCTTCAGCCATGTCCAGTATTGATGCAGTCATGATTACCAGGCAAAACTATTTCAATACTTCATTGATCATGTTCCATGTGAGATATTATGGTTTTGGTACTTTCATTATAAGTAATTTGCTACCTGTGAAGATCCGGGGTAGAATAGGTCTTCAGCAACCCATGCTTGCCATAAAAGGCGACAATGTTTGTCGTAAGAGGCGACTGACTCGCTGACTTGGTAATGCACGTCATCGTATCCCTATTGCGTAGATTGATGTTCATGTCAATCAATGGATTGTCTGGTCCAGACTCGATTATTTACAGACTGTCGTCATATTTGTGTAATATTGCTTAGAGTGCAAACAAAGGAGTCATTTGTGATGAGTCAGCAAGGATGATACATTGTATTTCAGATAGACCATGATGTATGCAGCAACTATGGCAACTGGTTGTACAGTGCCGGTATTGGTAATGACCCTCGTCAGGATCGCAAATTCAACATCGTCAAACAGGGCCTGGATTATGATGCTCAGGTGAGGAATGACCGAATATCTACATACAAGGTTGGAGAATATCCGTGTTTAAACAGTATGAACTGCACTTTCCCCGAGGCAAGGGCGTTAACTGACTATAAAAGTCCAGTTTTCACCCTTCCAGAACTAGGCTGGAATTCTGAAGTTACATTTTAGCTGGACAAGAGAGTCTTTGCATAGTCCAATCAACATCGCGTAATGATGTTGACATCTGGTTCGTAAACAACATGGATTTCAACGTGCAGATTTCGGTCAATTGCAAGATTTGCAATGCATGTGTACTGTGAACTCAGCAACGACAGATATTTTGCAATCTCTTCTCATTTTCAATCAAGGTGATTTGATGCACCTTGTAAGACCCATGTTAGTACAATATTGATCTTGATTATCGATCAGATCTTCTTGACTGGCGCCGCCACTTTGTTTGAAGCAAATGCAAGTGATATGAGAGATGGAAACTGATTCGTCAATAGGAGGGACAAAGAAGGGACAGAACTCATAATATCCACTACGATCAAACCTGGAAATTCCAGCCTTGTTAGGCAAGGATGGAAACTGGACTTTTGTAGTCAGTTAACACCCTTGCCTCAGGAAGATGTATTATCTGAGGTTATTTCAAGAATACCAAACAAAACCAGAATATCTACATACACAGTTGGAGAATATGTTTTCATACCATTGTTCAAATAGTATTAATAACAGAATAACATGTACAACTTTTGTATTGAATTTAGATGTATGATAAATAAAACTAAATATGTATGTGTTGTATCTGCTGGTATGCTAGTAAGTTTTGGATTCATAAGTTTTGTGAAGGACCTGCTTGGAACTGGTACTAGCATTTGTACTGAAAAAAGTTGAAGGCAAGATTGACTCATGGGTTTCAAATCAAGAAATAATACATGAACTATATTAAATGTATTAAAATGGCAGCGTCTTTCATGCATTTCACCATGACATGAATATTGTTATATTGCCATTTGTGCACAAGCTGTGTGCCAGGGATATAATTAAATGTTCTTGAATAATTGAGTTGTTTTACTTTTGTTACTCCAGAATATTTTTTTTTATACCTACCTAACATTTTAGGACAAAAGTCGAGTAAAAAAATACTCAAGTTTTTTGTTGTTATTTTTAATTTAATTTAATTCTCATTCTCATTCTCATTCTCATTCTCATTCTCATTCTCACTCTCACTCAATTTGAGCGGACAGCTATATTTTTAGCATTGTATATTTCAAATCAGACTCAACATGACATTGTAGTGGCAAATAGGTCCAGGGTATATATCTTAGTAGAAAGGACATATAATACTCTGGATAATCAAGAGATCATGTTAAATATATTATTACTGCTGAAAGTTGACGTTAATGTTGATCTCCAGGGTGACTATGTCCGCCTGTGGGTGCCAGAGCTGTCGAAGGTGATGGGGGGTGAGGTACACACTGTCTGGGCCCTCAGTAACACAGTTCTGTCTCATGCCGAGGTTTCACTGGGAGAAACATACCCCAAACCTCTCCTTGTTGCACCGGAATGGGGCAGACACAGTGCCAAGTCGGTAAGTTCTTGAATTAATGGAATCCTAAAACTCTGGGGGGCAACCCTGGACAGGTTAGATTCCATGTACATGCATTATCATTATCAGTATCAGTATCAGTATTATACATTTATATACCGCAAGTATCCAGGTACTAGTATCTGCTCAAATGCAGTTTTATTTGTTCCCCGACCACTGTTTGCTTGTCTATAGTTGACATATCCGGTTCATCAGGATATTTGGTCAGTCAGCACCTGTACTCGTGCTGGTGGTTTGTTTGTTTGTTTGTTGTTGAACGCCTCACTCAGAAAAATTCCAGCTATATGAGGGCGGTCTGTAAATAATCGAGTCTGGACCAGATTATCCAGTGATTGACATCATGAGCATCGATCCACGCAACTGGGATACGATGACATGCATCAACCAAGTCAGCGAGCCTGACCACCCAATCCCGTTTGTAGCCTCTTACGCTAAGCTTAGTCACCTTTTACAGCAAGCATGGGTTGCTGAAGACCTATTCTACCCCGGATCTTCACAGGTATCGTGCTGGTGGTAAACATCTGAGACCTACATGACTTCTGGCCTGCTTCTCCTACTTGGCCCACACTCAGTGGTACAACTAACTTACTGTTCAAAACAATTTATTTGGTTGCTCAGACTTGGTACCCCAACAGCGGTACTCACAATATCAATCACTGGATTGTCTGGTCCAGATTTGATTTTGATTGTTTACAGGCCGCTGTCATATAGCCGAGTGCAGTGTTAAACAACAAACACACTAGAGCTGACTATTATCATGTTAAGGTGATTACAATTGAATTGTTTTAGCGTGGCGGTACTCGGGGAAGGGGAGACAAGCCACGACAGAATCGAGGGATTGACTTCTACTTTAAGAACAGCTGAAGCAAGTCACAGAAGCAGTTGCCTGGATATTGGGAAAGCTATCCAGCTTTAGTCTGTCCACTCAGGGAAGATTGGTCATTTACTGAAGATGGAGATATTTGCCATGTCAGTCACGGACAAGAAAGACAGGGACAAATTCATGCCCATTTGTTTTATGTTGAAATCCATTTTTGTATTTTCAACAGTAGCGGAGATGCAGAGATCTGAAACACCATTATGTTAATTGTAGTGAATTGTACTTCATTTTTTTAAATTAAAGTGTAAATACCTTAATTTGTTTCTGCATACAGTCAGACAACATTGTCTTCAATTCTTGGAGACAGAACATTACACAACCAATGTCTGCAATTACAATTATTTCAGTGTGGGGTTGGTAGATCTCATTGAATGTAGGGCCATTGGTAGATCTCATTGAATGTAGGGCCATTGGTCGTGTATCTCAATGAATGTAGGGCCATTGGTAGATCTCATTGAATGTAGGGGCCATTGGTCGTGTATCTCAATGAATGTAGGGCCATTGGTAGATCTCATTGAATGTAGGGGCCATTGGTAGATCTCATTGAATGTAGGGGCCATTGGTAGATCTCATTGAATGTAGGGCCATTGGTAGATCTCATTGAATGTAGGGCCATTGGTCGTGTATCTCAATGAATGTAGGGGCCATTGGTAGATATCATTGAATGTAGGGCCATTGGTAGATCTAATTGAATGTAGGGGCCATTGGTAGATCTCATTGAATGTAGGGCCATTGGTAGATCTCATTGAATGTAGGGCCATTGGTAGATCTCATTGAATGTAGGGCCATTGGTAGATCTCATTGAATGTAGGGCCATTGGTAGATCTCAATGAATGTAGGGGCCATTGGTAGATCTCATTGAATGTAGGGCCATTGGTAGATCTCTTTGAATGTAGGGCCATTGGTAGATCTCAATGAATGTAGGGGCCATTGGTAGATCTCATTGAATGTAGGGCCATTGGTAGATCTCATTGAATGTAGGGACATTGGTAGATCTCATTGAATGTAGGGCCATTGGTAGATCTCATTGAATGTAGGGCCATTGGTAGATCTCTTTGAATGTAGGGCCATTGGTAGATCTCAATGAATGTAGGGGCCATTGGTAGATCTCATTGAATGTAGGGCCATTGGTAGATCTCATTGAATGTAGGGGCCATTGGTAGATCTCATTGAATGTAGGGCCATTGGTAGATCTCATTGAATGTAGGGCCATTGGTAGATCTCATTGAATGTAGGGCCATTGGTCGTGTAGCTCAATGAATGTAGGGGCCATTGGTAGATCTCATTGAATGTAGGGGCCATTGGTAGATCTCATTGAATGTAGGGCCATTGGTAGATCTCATTGAATGTAGGGCCATTGCAGCGTTAGAAATTGGCACTAGTCCTATAGTCCTTGCCAAACTGCCCAATGGTAAAGGTATCATAAGGACTAGTAGAAATTTGCCATTTTTAAGGGTTTTGCTATATGGTATCATTATAAGGACTAGTGGACGAAAACTGTTAGTTTCTAATCCTGCCATTGGTACATCTCAATGAATGTAGGCGCTATTGGTAGATCTCATTAAATGTAGGGGGCATTGGTCGTGTATCTCATTCAGTGTGATTGGTAGATCTCATTGAATGTAGGGGCCATTGGTTGAACTCATTGAATGTAGGGGGCAATGGGTATTTACTTCAAGCAAACTCATTTCAGATTTTGCAACAATATTACTCTTTTAACACAATACTCGAAACAGTTATTTATTATTAGAACATACATGGAGATGTTCACCAGTTTACAATGGGGGTGTGTAAGGATTGGGACAATCCTTGTAGCAATACTCAGGTACTTGGAAGATATGGTCATTTGGTTTAGCCTCAGTATAGGTATCCATGTCAAATGTTAGAGTGTGATCCACAGGGCCAACAACTTCATGATACAGACATGGTACATTGTCTTCAGTAGCGAACCACGTGTCATTGGCAACAGCCCCGGGAGTGGTCCAGCCGTAGCACACAGTGCCAGATATCACCTCGGTACCGATGGGGGTAGAACCCTTCAGCCAATCAGGTCTGAGAACAGTACAGCCCTCTTCCACCCCACACAGCCGGCAGCAGGTGCCTGCCTCTGGGTAGTGAACATACAGAGACAGGTCCCTAGAGAAGATGAGATGACAAGTGCCCTGTGGGTTGTCATCGCTCAGTCCCTGGCCATCACAGAAATTGTTCTTCTGGCCTTGAAGATGGTCAAATCTTGCTTGTTTGCGGATATAGTCGTAGTACCATGCCCCTTTGTTCTGGGAGGAAACTGTGTTATTGACTGCTTGGAGTTCTGCAAACTGGACAGAGAAGGTGGACGGCCAGTACGGTGGTTTTCGCGTTTCCTGAGAGTCGCCTGGCTGGTGTGTCCCCGGGAGGAGCAGGGCTTGCATGAAGACTGTTATTCCTGGTAAATGCATCTGAAAATCAAAATCTTTTGAAAACAAAAGCACTTTATATATAGGTGCAGAAGCGCACGTTAAATCTCCAAAGTAAGTAAGTAAGTAGGTAGTTTTTACTTCAAAAATGGCAAACACTCAGCTGAACACTCACTTTCTACCTACATCTAGAGGAGGGAGAAATCTGGTAGTCAGTGGATACATGAACAGAATCGACAAGAGAAAGGCAGACTGGATGAACTGGAGGTGTAATAAGAAGGATTGCATGGTATCGGCATCAACATTGAATGACATCTTGACATCTGTCAAAGACACTCACAATCATCTGAGAAGAACCCAGTTGTTTGTGACTTTCTCTGGCAGTGTGTTGTGCTCCCTTTGGTTCCGCCAGCAGAGATTTAGAATGTGTGGTCAGGGACTCTTGCAGATATGCCACGGGACGACCGTGTTCATCATTTGGCTGACTACATAACCATATGGTATCCTGGTGAATTGTCAAATAATCTGCCTCAGGTTATGAAACAAAATAATTGTTGGCTGGACATGCAGACTGTCCTGGATAAAATGAGCTGTGAAAAGGATATACAAATATATTTATTCATCATATTATGAGTAGGTTTCTCGGCAGGATAAGCCAACGGATAAAAACGATATCCGCTGGGGTCATATGCGGATAGAGATGCTAATATAAAAGGTCAAGTAGGGACTACTTTCAGTGTTTATAAACAAACATGGCGTCGCCCATGTCATTCGGCAATCGAGTCAGAATTAACCATCAGGAATCTGGATGAATTACAGAGATAATTGCTATCATTATCAAAAGAACAGTCTAATATACTAAAAGTCAGTGTCTAACTGTGACATCGCTAAGGCATTTTATAAGTTTTGGCAACTTTGGAGATATAAATTTCGAAACAATTTTGCGGGATCAGTAGCCATATCTGTGCTTGTAGACCTCTGCGGCTTGACTTACTTACTTACTTACTTACTTACTTTGGAGATTTAATGTGCGCTTTCAGACTGATGCGTGTTTCGCACACGGGCCCGGCCAGGCCATTTAATGTTTTTCCGAAAGGGGCGAAAGTGGTCTGTGCAACCCAAGAGGGGGGTTTTAGGGGTTGATTATATAGAATTTGGGAATTTTGAGATTTGGAATAGATGCCGATGGGGTTGGGGAGGAGAACTAAAGGAGCTGGGTATGGTGGATGTTTGTTTATGTGATTTTGATTTTGTAGGTTATTGTGTTTTAGATGCGTTTTATTAGTTCCGTTTTGATTAAGAATACGCCTAAGGCCTTGAAGTTTTCTAGTTTATTTTGTGGGTTTAGTATTGCTTCTAGAGTTTAGATTGCCTTGTTTAGATTGAGGGTGGTTTGTAATGCGGTTCGATGTGTTAGGTAGTGTGTGCAGTGGATGAGTGCGTGTTCTGGGGTTTCTGGTTGTTTGCAGTGTGGGCAGTTACCTGTAGTGTGTTTTTTTTTTTTAAATTTAGGTGGTTATTTCGGTTGGTGTGTCCTGTTTGGAGTTTAGTGATTACTCTGTCGATTTTTTTTGATGGATGGAGAATTTTTGGTTTGGTTAGTTGTTTGCTGAGCACTTTTTTGATTTGGCTATTTGAGTTTAGATATAGGTTATGCCATTTTTTGTGTGATTTTTTGCTTGTTTACACTTTTAATTTCTGATTTTGAGATGGGTAAGTTTAAGCTTATTTCTGGGATTTTGAGGGATAGTTTAGCTGCTTTATCGGCGTTTTCATTACCGTATATTCCTACGTGGGCGGGTATCCACAAGAAGGTTATTTGTTTGCCTGCCTTAGTTAGGTCGTTGGAGCTTTTAAGTATTTGATTTATTAATTTAGGTCGGTTTTTGGTATTTTTGTTTTGGAGGGCTTGCAGTCCACTTGGGGAGTCGGTAAGTATTAGGATTTTTTTTGTGGTTTTTGGATTCTTGATTATGGAGGGCTGAGGCCATGCCCATTAGTTCTGCCGTGAATAGTGATTGGTTGTTTGGGAGTCGGAAGGATTGTGTGGTTTTAGTTGGTTGTGTGGTATGGACTCTGAAACCTGTGTGTTTGGAGGTCGGATCTGAGGATCCGTCCGTGTAAATGTGACACAAATTTGGCCAATTTTCGTGTATGTATGCTAGTGTGGTAGTTTTAGCTATGTTTGGGTCGGTTTGTTTATTTATTTGGCTAGCTAGTGTTGTGTCTATTTTGGGTATTTTAAGTTTAGGGGTGAAGATATTTGATTGTTTGCAGTTTTGTTTAAGATTTTTAATTTGGTGTTCATTTAGGTAGTTTGTTTTTCTTTGGGATATTGGGGTAAGTAAGGGGTGTTTACGAGCTAAAGCTTGGTTTTTGGGGCTGATGTTTTGGTTTATTAAGTTTTGGATGAGAGGGTTTGATTGGGACGCGGCCCAGAAATTTAAGTTTAGCTGTTCCCTGCGTAGACTTAGTGGCATTTCTCCTGTTAAGGCCTGAAGTGAGGTGTAGGAGGTGCCAAGTTGGGTGCGTGTAATTAGTTTGAGAGCCTGATATTGTATTGAGTCAAGTTTTTTAGATAGAGAGTTGTTTAGGGTGTTGTATATGGCGCAGCCGTAGTCTAGTTTTGATCTAATTAGTAATATGTAGAGAGAGAGGAGGGTATCTTTGGAGGCTCCCCAGTTAGAGCTAGTTAGGCATCAGGGTGTTTAGGTCTTTACTGCATTTAGTTGTTAGGTTTTGGATGTGAGCATCCCAGGTGAGATGTTCAGCGAAAATAAGTCCTAAGAATTTGGTTTGTTTTTTAAATTTGATTGTTTGATTGTTTAGCTGGAGGATTGGGGAGGCGGGTTTCATGTTTT